ATGCCTGCACCCCCAGTCCGGGGGTGCGCAATACATCGGCGCAGTCGGCCGCGGCCAATCGCGGCGCCGCGTGGGGTCCTGCCGTGGCACGGGCGCGATCAGGTGATGCGTCAGCTGGGCGCCTCGCGCCCGCGCGAGGTCGCCCCAAATCCGGGACTTGGCGGCGTGGACTCAGCTGGGCGCGTCCTTCGCCCTTGAATTCCGGGGCTATCTCGCCCCGGCAGCTCTCGGCGACGTCCCCGGGCCCTGGAGAAATCGCCGGCCGTATGGCCCTTCGCGGGCCTCAGCCACCGTGCCCCGCCGGTTGCGCCCCTGGCGGCGCGGGTATCCTTGCGCGTGCTTGCGCGCTCGATCACCTGTCCGCCGCGTGCCCGGTGCGTGTCCCCTCGGCTCCGGCGCCCGGTCGTCCGTACTCCAATCCCCTGCTGCTCTCGTTGGCCTTGAGCTTCTTCCGCGGACGCTCCATGGATCCGGTGAGGTGCCGCGGTACATGTAAGAGGTTCCAATAAAATCAATAACCGATACGCGATTTAAATTCGGGCCTCCCGGAGATCTCGGTCTCGCTCTTAACGACGCGGCTGTCGGTCCGGCAAAAGGGGCGCGAACCCGCGCCTTGTGACGGCGGCGGGACGCTGCCTCGCCGCAGCGGACTGCGGCGTCACAACTCCCCCATGCCAAGAGAGACCGTGCCACTTCAGCTATCCCTCTCGAGCCCCGGGCTGTCGAGGAAGCGAATGACCTTGTTGCCGTGAGCGGCCGAAACCTCCGATGGGAGGATCCCTTCTCAGGACGATTATACAATACACCAAAAGAAAATATAAAAGAGCAAAAAAAATTGAAGGTAACAAACAAACAAAAATTCTATCCCGGGGGAGGTACTAGCGTCCTCTCTGTGCTCCAACCTTACGACGTGGCCTCCGCCAGCTCGAGCCTTCCCGAGATCGCCGTCTATCGATATCGGACTCCTGCCCGCGATCTCGCATCTCGCTTTTCGCGCGCCGGTTCGCGGTTTTGCAAGGAGGGATCGAGGGATTCGGGGAAGCAGTCAACACCACTCAGGCTTAGCAAGATACAAAGTTTTATTTTCTTGAGTCCTACGTTAGAGGATCTCTGTTGCCTACAAAAATTGGTTCTCCGGGAACTTCGCTTGAAACAAAAAGGGACGCAGCCCAGCGAAACTGACAAAACAGAGGAAAAAAAAATGCTTAATCGGGGAGAACAAACAAGATACAACACTCAAAAAAAAGTTTTAAGACAGAGGGTCGGCCACAAAAGAAAAGAAACTCCTCGGTGAATCGGCACCGTCCCACACCAACAAAAAAACAAATAACCAAACAAAAAAACGAGACGATGGACCCAGGGCCTTGGACGCACGATAGACTAGAGAACGAAAAAGGGTTTTGATTTTCGCGACGCCCGTTGTACTCGAAAGAAGGGGAACGAACAAACAGGAACTCGGGGTGTTCTCGAGGCCCGCAGTACGCGTGGGGGACGGGGCGTTCTACAGCCGCCCGGGCTCGCCCTCGGTCGCCTCTGGCATCACTCCGCCATATCGCCCCAGTCCTCCAGGGCTGTCTTCGGCAGCCAGGTGACCCTCTCCCGCAGACTGCCTGGCCGCTTGCTTGGCCGCTTGGGGGGATCCGGTCCCGGGTGTCCCCTTCCGGGAGCCCAAGGTCCCTGGGCCAACCAAGCCTCCCCGCACTGGGGGCACGTTTTTATGGTGCAGTCCGGCTCGCCACACCGGAAGCAATACGGTAGGGCGACTTGCCGCCGCTTCGGGCAGCGGTCTTGGAAATGCTCCCGGGATCCGCAGGCCCAACACCTTTCCTCGTAAAAGGCCCGGGCGGGGTACTCCTTGGGCACCTCGCGGCGTGCCCGCACCCCGTGCTCGGCCTTGACGACCCTCGGCCTCCCCATTCCGGGCTCGGCCTTGATGGCGGTCGACGTCTCCATCCCGGGCTCGGCCTTGACGGCCACCGGTTCTTCCGTGGGGCGTGCCCGCGCCACTACTTCGCAGCGGACCTCCGCTGCGCCTTCGGCGACGACCCCGGCAACCTCCGCTCGTGCGACCGCTCCCTCGCTCGACCGCCGCTCCTGCCCTCCTCCAAGGGCGATCGCCTGCTCGAGCTGCGCCTGACGCTCCCTCAGGAGTCTGAGTAAGCGCTCGTACCGCTTTCCCGGCCCCGACATCCCTAATACACACGACATACAGACATACAAACACTTATACCCACTACTCCACGGGTTCGAGATAAGGTTTCAGATCCTTCACGTGTACTTTCCCCAGAGATCTACCGGCGGCGTCCGCCAGCTCGTATACTAAGGGTGAT